CTTCTGAGCTTTAGTAAAGTAGCATCATTGCCTGAAACCATGTTGTTCTGTTTGTTTCATGTAAGCACAAACTCACCTGAGGGCATAAACAGTGTTGTGAAAGGGCTTCTCAGATCTTTTCTTACATTTCTAGCTTTTAGCATCACAGTTGATAAAACATGACTGATACCTAGAAACTGTTCATACTGACCTTCTGCTTATAAAAATTTCAAATTTTGTTTCCAGGTTCTAATCTTTCTTAAATAACCTGCATTATTTCTCTGAGCTAGCTTCAGGTCCCAGATTCTTTCTTTAAATTAAGTACCAGCCAAGCCTATGGTACATGCACCGCTCCAAGCCCATACAATGAGTACACAGAAACACCAGAATGGAAGGTTTGAAATCTTCATTTTGTTTTTAAGGGAGACTGAAGACTCAAATCCCAGAATTTCAGGAGAAATCAGCTTGAAGGCTAAGGGTGAGATGGTCACTGCTAAGTCTTAGCTAAACTGTCTGTTTGCTTTTTGTCTCTCTCCAGTGCAAAGAACTGGAAGCTATTTCTCTTCTACCAGGTGAGAATGTAGTGATGTTGGCTGAGGAGCTGTTGTGACTGAACACTGAAATGAGCCGTTACTTCATCAAAACTGCCAGCAGAGGATGTTGGCTGATAAATTGTGAGGGCTGGGAAGAGGTATCTTCGGGGATCAGGATTTGGGTAGCACTGTAATGTTCATTCTGCACATCAGAAGGTCCAGACAAGTCAACCCCCAGTGACCCTCATTACGTCCAGTGCCCCTTGTCAAATATAAAACTCATAGTTCTGCATTGCTTTTGCTAATGTCATAATCTTCCATTGCAGGATTTTTCTTATGTAACTAGCAAGCCTATATCAAATATAGGCTTTGTGGCTTGAGATAACCACTCATGATTCCCTTTTTTTTAGCTTCTGTTGGGGTTTTGTGGCTCACCTAAACTCCAAGGGCCATGAACAAAGTATGTGGATATGCAACCACTTGCTGGCAGATTAAACAGCTCTCAGTCAAAAGGATTGTTATTAAAATGAGTTGTTTAGCTTGCAGAAGTGGCTTTCACTCAAGGTGAGCCTGTCCTCTGTGGTCTCTCAAGCTCTCTCTTGTGGGTGAGCTGGAATGCGGCTTTTAAGAGAGATTAACCATGACCCTAACACAGGAAAACGTTCAGAAAGAACAGAAATACCACACTGCACAACAAAGGAGGAAACATACCTTTTGAGCCCATGAAGAAAAGTTCCAAGGCTGAGATTGCGCTTCTTTGATAAGGCCGTAGTCAGCTTGTCAGTGCAGAGCAACAGTGGTTGCAGCCTTCTCTCAAGACAAAATTCAGCCTTTCCAGGTGCCAGGAAGGGCAGTGGAGAAGCAGCTGTGTGACCAAGAAGACAGAGACGGGACTACACTAGCCCACTATGAGTAAGGTTACAAAACCATGCACCCCACCTAACCCTTCTCAGCCAGAGCAGGTCTCCACATGCCAAGTTTGTCGCCTTTGAACTCTAAGCCTTGATGCAGTTTCACAGGCCAAGCGTGTCGTAGCACTGTGCTTGTTTTTCACTGGGGTACTACCTTGCAACTGAAAAGGTGTGCAAAGGCTGTTCCTTAGAAACACCAGTCACCCACCCAAATGAAATACTGATTTGCTAGGTGCATCCTGGCAACGTAATGTATTCACAAGACCTAAGGATAAACATGAATTGAGGCTTCTGGAAAAGGATGTATGTGTTCCTTGCTCTCTAGCCACAATCTGCAAATCTCTTAGATATTCTATAAAATGGAAGATTACTATGCTTTAACTCTTTAGCCAGGGCTGCAGGGCAGAACTGTTGGGAGATTCACCCGAGCTAAATGAGTTTTTCTGTTTCATTGGGGTAGGTGGGTTGTTTGGTTCTGGTAGTTGAGATTGGTTCTTGCACCCTAAGTAATTCACTTTAAAGCTGTGCTATGGTAGGTGTTGGCTCCCCATTATATCATAACTAAAAAAAAGTTTGTACTACAGATGTTACAGGCAAATCGGTTCGAAGAATTTTGCTTTCTGAGCTGAAGTTACTACTAGAAGGCACAGCACAAGACCCTCTGTCCATAAATATGTTACACCCTTGGCACTACTATGAGGAATATACTGAGCAGGACTAGCATTAGCGCGTTATGAACTTACACTTACAAATTAAGAAACATTTTTGCACTCTTGCCTACTGTTACAGGATTCAAATCTAAAATGAGATAGACTCTAAGTGTCTAGGTGATGAACCAAAGAATCTGAGCATGGTGCCAGTGGGGCGTATGGAGTGATTATGAACACATTCATTTGACTAGTACAGACAAAGCCTGCATATAATTGAGGAAGAGAGGGCACCACAACCAAACATCACTGATCCTTATCCTGCCCCCTTCAACTTAGTTTCATAATCAGCACTTACATCACTGAGAGGTTAGAATTATTACACAGGCCTCTCCTGCAGCATTTCAGAATCTCAGACGAGTCCCTGCCTGTAAAGTTCTGCTTTCTGCAAAACAAACAAACAAACTTTCATCCTGCCCTGTGGTTAGCTCAGCATAAGTCAGCAAACTGCCGGTAAAATTCTGGCATTTAGAAATAGCTTAAGCTCAGCCTATTTCTGCCATCAAATCAGTTGTTCTTACAGTTATCTGAAATTCCTTAAAGTACTATTCTTCAGCATGCAGCTGGCACACATTTGGGTATAGTTGCCTGGGGGGGGCGGGGGAGCGGGCGGTAGCCGACCAACCACCCCCCTTGCTGCGCCTAATCCTGCGAACTCGGCCAAGAGAAACCACCGCACGCCACCGCGTGGCCTGCGCAGCTACTGCCCGGGGACCAGGGAGCTCGGCTGCCACACGGAGGTTTTAACGTCAGGCGGGACCGATCCAGAAGGTGGTCGGCAGGGGGTCAGAAACAGCCCACTGAATGACCTCAACAAAGCCATGAAACGTTCACCATTAACACCTTGTTACTCCTGCCTTGGCCTTGCAGCCTGAGCAGCGGCAGAGCCTCAAGCTGCAGAACAGCACCTTTTCAGCACATGTTCAGGGTTCCTCAAGCAGAGCTATAGAGATAGCCCCGCGCTCTCAACAAACATGCACAGCACCCAACACCACCCCTCTCCTCCCCACAGCAGCCTTTGGTAAAGCAGGAAGTTACCTTATTCATTTTACAGTATGTCACACATATTCTCAATTATATGTAAGGCTGGGGATGTTCATGGCACATCTGCCTTATTGCCCGCTGTCAGCACTTGTTAAAGAACTCCATGTGTCAGTGTTTTAAATAAAGCTGATATGCTTACTCATAACTTCATTTACATCTGAATCCATGAACTCATGGTAACAAGGCTACACTGGCTGTCAGTTTTTTGGTGTACGTTAAGTCCTTATCCCTCCTTACTCTCCTTTTTAGGGAAAAGTAAGTCATTAAGAAACCCTTGCCAGAAGCAATTAAGGTATGGTTTGATTAAACATAGTTGAGGGAATTAAAAAACAGGGACAGAGTACAAGTATAACTTCAAGGTCCTTGCTTCTATTTTAAGTAGTAATTTTTGACTTCTCAGTGTTTTGAGACTTTTTAGCTGGGAGATGACAGCTTAAAATCTGCACCACTGAATCATCTCCAAATTTGAAATCATGTTATGTTCAGCATAACTGCTTTTAAGTTACACTTAAACACTGCCTTACTTCCACTGCTGTCATACCTACCAGAAGGCTGGAACTATTAAGTCAGCAACAAGGGACTTTAAATTATCTAACAGAAGTGCATGAGTTCAGACAAAGCATCTTATTTTGTCTGCTACCAGAGACAACTGTGCAATACCTACAAAAGCATGCAGCTTGCTGTTGGAAATCAAAGAAAGGTGCTAGCTAACTTCAGCTGTTACCCCAAAGAGCAAAGTGCCACACATTAAACAAAAAACCTGCCCAAGGACTCCAGTTCAAGGCATGTGATTACAGTCAGCAATTGCTCTAAATCTGGTATGTGACAAAATTTCTGTTTCTGCTATTCTTGAGTTAGAAAAGAAAAACCATGAGGGCTCTAGCTGTGGAAGAGTGTACGGAAGTTACAGCACAGACTGGTAGGTCTGTGAGGTTTATGAAGCTCAGTGCTTAACATACTTTCTCTGTAATCAGCAAAGAAAAGAGAACATCATTCTTCTCAAGCCAAGGTTTAATTCTGAGGTTGGTGACACTGATTTACAAAAGTAAATAAAAAATACATTCTGAGAAACAGTGAGTCCCCTAGTTAACAAGGCAGATGGATTTCACACTCCAAGCAGCCAAGAAAAACTGCTCACCATGAAAATAATGTATGTGGTCTCTCTTAGACACAACCGATGATGGGAAATGTACTGTAGCAGGGCAGAGGAAAGACAAATACTGAAGTGATAAAGATGAGACAAGACAATATGTATTAGATAAGGCTTCCACTCAAACTAATTGAGACATCATGATCAGCAGTTAGATGTAACTACTATTCCGAGCAGTGACCAGGCAGATTACAATGCCCAAAAGAAGTACGTAGCTGTTGAGACAGACCTTACCCCCAGCCTGCTGCTGACATGGCTAAACTTTGCATTATGCTTGGAGCAAACGTGTCTAAATGAATACCAGTAGTACAGAAGGACGGGAGTAGTACGAAAGTTTTCCACATCAGCTGTACCTGGTATCAGAAGCAAAGGCTACCACTTGGAGTACAGCACACAAAGCAGTTTACACAAGTGTATAATCTACAATTTTCATACTGAACATCAATTTTAAAAGCCAAGTATGAACCATTGGCAGGCAGTTTTCATTACTCATTGCTGCAACGGATCTAACCGCCAGTGCTGATCCTGCCTGCCGTTAAGAAGTCTGGCATTCCCTCTTGGGTCCACTCCTCTGGAGAGGAGCCCTTTCAGGGCTCTGTGCTAGAGAGCAGAGCTAAAAACAGTTAAATGAGATAATTAAACAGATAAATGTGCTATTCTGTCACACAAAGGATAAAATACCAGGAATTTATTGCTCTACGTATGCTTAATCCATTAATTTGTCTTACAGTAGTCACAAAGTGCCAAATTGTGTGCTACATTTAACATTTCCTGTATTCCTTTCCAAATGCCATTTTACAGTGGATGTATAAGAGAATGCAGCAGCAGTCACAAAACATGGCTTGAGAGCATCTCCCAAGAGCTTAAAAATAAAGATCTGTGTACAAGCTGAACAAGATGCCAGTTAACAGGTCACTCAGCAACTTTAATAGAAATACCTTCAGTTTTGCAGTGTTAAAATATACAACTCAGACCGAACATTCTCATCCCCACTGTAGTAACAAGATACTTGCAAAGAACAAGAACTATGGTATGTAAATGTCACACGCAGAAACTCCTTTGTTTCTATTCAGAAGCAAAAATTGCTAATTATAAGCAAGGACAGGCCTATTAGGCTAAGGCTGCCAGCCTATATTAAAAATATATACCTCAGAGTTTGGCAGTTGAATTCTATTTACCACTTTGACTTTTTCTTTTTGGTTACGTACAAGTACTCTTCCTCCTCTCCCACCACACACACATTATAAACCCCCTTTTGTTTTTGTTATACCTCTGTATTATTTACAGGACTCCTAAAGATAAAGTACAAACTAGTATGAAATTAATGATAGCTTGCTCTTCAAATATGTATTCCATGGCTAAATAAATACCAAGCCAATCCAACAGTGATCTGGAGTTATGATTCAGAAGCTTGTGTATCTGTGACTCCAGATGTTTTCTCATTAACTCTAAAGGATTCACTTGATCTGTCAACAATATTTGCCTTAGAAGTTGGGGTAGCACTATCCAAGGTGAGGGTAGAGGTCTGTTCTACATTTACAGTAGTGCCAGGGTCAGTGGAAAAGCTTCCAGCTTGAGTAATGGAGGGAAGCAAATCTGTAGGCAGTGTAGATGCCTCTGTGACCAAAGGAAGCAGAGGAACACATTTGGGAGGCATTGGTAGAGGTGTTATTCCCATTAGATTCAGAGGTGGCAAGGAGGGAAGAGATGGCATACCTAAGGGAGGAAAAAAAAAAACCAAACATAGTGAGCTGCTGCATATGGCAGAAAAATCTGCAGAGATTCTGTCTGCTTAAAATTTTTACCTTCTGTAATCTCCTAATTACTCTAGAAAAGGAGGAAGCTTCTTGAGCTTAGTGTGAGCATAATACACATGTAGTGCTGACTGAGCAGGCCAGTTTCAAGCCTTATGCTCTTCAGATTTCAGAACTGAAGAATCACAATAAACTCAAGATTGCTTCCACAGGACTAAGTATTAAATACATTAATGCTGATGATTAGATTTTTCTGGCATTCACTGAAGCTGCCAGAACCAAGAAGCTAACAAGAATAAGGTTCCAATGAACTCCATATAAGCTTCTAAATTCTTTTTGCTTGCTCCAGGATAACCATAATGCTAGTATGAGTACATACTTTTGGCATTCAGAGTGCTTCAGTCTCCTCAGCTAGCATACAGGTAAACACACCTCATATTTTCTTCTACCCATAAAAGTATATACTTTAATTCTTGGCACAGTCTTTTCAGGTCATAAATCAGGTAACAGAAGATGAAACAACTAAATACACACACAGGTTTAGAATTAGTTTATCTAAAGACATATTCTTTATGCCCCTAATCGGGGCACTATTGTCAGCTCCCACCTCAGGCTAACATCCAATTTTTACTCTTCAGGACTCCACCAGATGGCTCTAAATGAAAGTGTTAATCACCAAGAAGAGACCTGCTATTACACTGTTTCAGTTTGCAGAAGCACATACCAGTCTGTATGATTTCTGGAACAATGTGTGGTGCAGGTAAATTAAGTTTGGACAGGTCAGTCAGGTTGGGAAGCCCTGCTGGCAGTGGCATCAGACCTAAGAGAAAAGAGGAAAAGTTACAGCTGAAAACTTAATTATTGTTGGTTGGTTTTTTTCTTTTTTTTTTTTTTTCCCCCCTTACCCTCCTGTTTGAGATTTCATTATAATTTAAAGGGTTTTTTTTATAATGCTTTACATCCTGATTATCATTTGTACACATAAGAATGCAAATTCACCTGAGTTTTCCCTTTTAGGTTGCACAGTGAAAACAGACACCTATTGCAGGAAGTCCAGACTACCAAATACATAATCCCAACCTTTCAGATTTTTCTGAGGAAAGCAGAATCTTATTTCAAGGAATTAGTAGGTTTACATTCCACGTTCTGCTTCTAACAAAGTTAGTTATTTCACCGCAGCACTCCATTCCCAATTTGAATGGCAGAAGATAAAAGGATGAAACACGTTGCATTTCTGATCTCTGATATTATTATTACTTTTTTCTACTTAGTTCCTAACTAGAGTAAAACAAAAATTTTTAAAAAAGGCAAGACAAAGTAACTTTCCAAGTCAGGAAGGAATGAAAATAGAAGAGCAACATATGATAAACATAGCACATGGCTTTCCCTCCTCACTATGTTTGCTATGGAATATCTTCCTGCTCCTGAATTTCCTGTCTTGGAAGGGCTGCATTTCTCCTACTTTTTATTTAGCTCAGAGACAGACAATTCTGAAAGAACATGTTGATACTATGGTAATAAGATGGAGAGAAGAAAAGTCTTAGAGCAAGGCAAGTGTACACAGATTTTTGGTAAGAAACAGTCACTTTTTACCACTCTGTGAATTCATTAGACATGAAGGCTGGCATAACCTGACTCAAAGGGCTTTTAGCTCAGCTACAAGCAACCTTGATTTGAACTTTTTTTAAAAATCTCAAAAAAGCTGAACTTCGCATAAATCCACCCAAATTTTAACCCTCCTATTTAATACTTAAATAATATCACCAGTATAGTACTAAATACTTAAACACTTTCACTAGTATAGCCATGTAAATTGCAAAAAGTATTCTAAGAACTGTCAAAAAAGCAATCATACTATTCAGAGAACAAGCTGAAAGTAAAATTTGTATTTGCAGATTTTGGGGAAGGGGCAGGTAGGGGGCTGGGGAAGAAGAGGCAATCAACAGAAGCTGAACTTGTCAGCAGTTTCCTTAAGCAGTACCGGATTAAAGTTCTCTGCCGTGGTTTGCATGCACTCAGCTCTACTACACATCTTCCATGTTAGAGAGCGCACCTCCGAGCATTCCTCAAAGCTTACGGACATATCTCTCTTTGTCTCACAACATGGAAAACAAACCACAACTTCTTCAGTGTGTTGGAATGCACAACTGAGTCACATACCAGTGCACCAATTACACAGCAAAATCCTATACAACCTTCATCTCACCCACTGCGTAATTCTGGAATACTAGTGCTTGAAGTGGTCATTATTATCAGGAAGTAAACGCACACCATTTTGTAGATGGACTCTTACTTTTGTTATATTAGTTTAGATGACTAAATTCAGAAACAGTAACCGCAACACACAGTTCTATACTGTTAGCCCTCTATTTATACTAGGAAGAATGATCAAGCAGAGTATTGAGAAAGTTTACTAAAACGCCGGTTTTACGGGTGAATGAAACACAGAAATAGGCAAGACGTCCTTTCTAAGATCTTTCCTTTCTCATGATGTTTGAGGGCAAAGGAAAACCTGAAAGCTGTGAAGTCACCTGCAAAAGTATTTCGCAAGGTACAATTTACGAGATATGGAAAGTAACAATATATCAACTCAAGAAATGTTGCAAACAGCAAAGCTAATACCTTCCTGAGAAATCCTGAACACTGCACCTATTGTGCAGGGCGCCCTAAAAAGTAAATGATTGCAAACTTTGTTGCCAGCTCAGTCCTCTATGCTACTAAGGTACTATTTTTGGAGTGTGTGCACATTAATTCTTCACAGAGGTTGCATAGAGATCTTTTAACACAAAATAAGTTGTGTGAAGTAACGCCCTGCTGCTCCACAAAAAGCAGCATAAAAGACAGCACTCTTTCTTTGCTCACTTAAAATCTGTTTCAGAAATGTTTTTTTTTAAAAAAAAAAATTTACCTACCCACCTGGTAATGTAGTTGCTGGGTTAACTGGTGGCACAGAGGCAAGGGATTGACTGACTTGTGACGGCAATAATGGAACTGTTGGAACACCTGGTAGAGTATACAAGAGAACAACATTAATTTTAAGCATACAACAATTCAGCTCTCTTCCTCAAAAAGTACAAATAATTACAGGAGAATATTTGCCTTAAGCATAAAATTTTTATGAAGAAAAACAGTATTCTAAATAATATGCACAGTATTTCTGACAGAAATTGTTTGCAGTTCTTTTGTGAGCAAGCAGGGCACAATTACAGTACTCTAACCTTTGTTGTAGAGAAATGTTTGTGGAAGAAGATTTATTCTTGTCTGCTTTCTATTAAATTGGTAGAAACATCAGTGAATGCAAAAAAGTCAAAAATCCCATTGTTCTGGTTTTGGTCAGAACAGAACTTATTCTCTTCAGCAATTTTACTTCTCAGCTCAGTCTCTTCTAAGTAACTGCACTTTCTGAAGTTAACAGCATATTTTCACAGGCAGTGTCTGCTTTCAACAGACAATTCAATCCCAGTCCACGTGTTCTTGAATCCAGTTCCTAAAACTGATTCCAGTATGGGACTTCCTCAGTGCCTGCCCTACACCATCAGTGGTGACGGTGATGTAATTGACATCAGGGGGTTTGGGTTCAGCACTGGTTTTGTATATATTTCTATGTATTTTACAATTATTTTTTAATTAAAGCTTTTTTTGGCTTTCTTTTCCAATATGTAAGTCTCTCTCCCTTATTCCCTTTTGAAAGGGAGAGGGGTTAACAGAGAGCACCTGTCATTTGTCTACCAGCCAGCCCAACACTAAACCTTGATACTCATGCACTTCAGAAGTCAGCTACCTCCGTACTAACCTGTACTGAGAACATTACTGACAGTAGTTGAAGGTGAACTAATGGAAAGTCCTGAAAGGCTCTGTTCCAGACCAGTTGACCCAGGGGGTAATGTGGCTGAGGGATTAACTGATGACAGCTGAACCTTATTGAAAAGAAAAAGAGTTACATTTTGTTTCCACAAGAACCAATAGAAGAAGAAGAGCAATGTAATGTCACAATCCATTTTCATCAAGCCAAAGAACTGGCTACAACTTACCTCTGCGAAGCCATCTTTGAGTGGGCTGAGAGGTGCACTAGGCAACTGTCCCGAAAGAGAAATTTTCTTTCCCTCTTCAAATGGGCGTGTAGGTATCCTATGCAAATATCCATAACCAATGCCACATCCTAGGCTTTTAAAATATGAACATTTCAAAGTCAGTGAAGTGACTTTACGATTACAGACTCCACATCAAGTAATGCACAAATGACTCAAGATGACAATGTGTTTCAAGATAAGGACTGTACAACTTTTCTATGCAAAAACTCATTGTCTATGGAGAAATATTCAATACAAGACAACAGAAAGGAAATTCTGCAGATTTTAGAAATAAACATTTAGCCCAAAATAAATTTCATTGTTATTTTAAATAAGCATCAGGCATACAGCTTGGAATTCAACTCGCAGTTGTTATTTGCAGTCCTCTGCTCTGGCTAGACTGCAATATTTTAAGAATATACCACAGCTTAATGCAGAAAGCAATTGTTGAACTTTGTGCATTTTTCCACTAGCCCATTTACTGTGTAAATACACAACCCTATTAGTAACTACATCTGATTTTCAAGTAAATATATAATTTATTATAGTAGAAACACCTTTGCTGTAACAACTGCTTTCGCGTCTCTGTGGCAAAGTTAAGCAAGCAGCTTTTAGGCTATTGCTGTAAGAAAGTCATCACATCTCCCTGTAACAGTCTCCTTACCTGCCTTCTCCACCCCAGGCAGAGTTTGGAGTGATCACCACTTCCCGACAATTATCTGTGTCTGTGTTATATACATAAAGTTTTAATGGCTTTGCTTCATGCCTTTCAATAAGGGAAAAGAGATCTTCAGACTGCAAAAAGATAAAAATTAATAAAGGCTTTCTTGTCTTTATTTAACCTTTTCACATTAGAATGAATGACCCTCTACCCAGTCCTAGCTTTCTGTAACCTGAGAACATGTCGCAGTTGTTGCAGCGCTGATGTTTTAACACAAGGCAAACTTTAAAATGTGCTTTGCTAGTGCAACTCAGAAGACATGTGGCAGAACCCAAGTTTCAAATTTGCTATATGAAATACTAATGTTAGAGTACAAAAAACTTTTATCTGACAGAATGAAGGTATTTAAGAGCAGTTTTTATTTCCAGAATTGCATTTAAGCACATGACAGTGCCACAGCTCCGTCCTCTGTCCATTAACTTACTTATTTTTAAATTACTTTTCCACTAGCACTGAACAGAGACAGAACTGGGGATGTTTCAAACAGTCCTGGCACTGCTGTTTTTTTAAATTAAAAAATTAAGACAAAACCACAGAAAAATCGAACCAACAAACAAAATCCACAACACAACACCCCTCCCCCCCCCGCTCTTTTTTTATATGCTTACCTCATTCATGATGGCATCTGCTCCAATAATATAGTCACTATGTGGTCTAAGTCCAGCTAACGCAGCAGGAGAATTTGGTTCCACTTCCTGGTTTTAAGATGGAAAAGTTACAAAACACTACGTCACAGTCAGCATACCAGAACAGTTAGATGTGCATTTCATAGACATTTTGAGTCAGATTGTCATCCAGTCACTCCTTCGTTAGTTCAGTGACTATTTTACTAATTGTGTTGCACACTTGACCAATCTCTTTTGATACCATAACAAGGAAGTGGGTATTGTGCAAAACCACTGATTTAAGTACGGGATTTGATAATATACTCACAGACATGCAGTTCAAAAGTCTTTCCAAACCAAAAATCAATGAAAAGAAGAAGATACCAATTTTATCTAAAGGCTTGTGTACCCCCCTTGAAAGTTACTTTTCAGTAAAATGATGAAAAATTAAACAGTAAGCAACAGTAAAAAAAATACTTGGCAAGTCCGCACGTACCAAAACATGCCATACATTTTCATTGGCCCCATCAAAGCTGCAGAAACGGATGCTCACACCCAGCAGGCCCTGTCCACCCCACATGTTGCTGGGGGTCACCGATGTTTCTCTCAGTTCCAGAGTTTTGCTGCTGTACACTAGCATTTTTACAGGTTTTTCAACATTTGCTTTCAACAGGTCCTTGAGGGTGTCGTTGTCTTTATTCTGCAAATGTTCAAACAAGAGCTTGGTTTAGTGTCAACAGCAAGCATGCAGTTCAATAGCACCACCTTGTTTCCAAGGTCCTGTGAACCCCACTGCACTACCAGAACACGTATCTGCAGCTATTTTATAACAAGCTTCCAGTCCCCTCACAATTCAAGCACACAATTCCAGCAAGAACCTAGGATTTCAAAGTAACAGGTCATGCTTTCCAAACACAAAAGTGTGTTAATTCAACCAGTGACACAATGTGCCTTGCAGCTTTCCAGAGGCTTTCTTGAATCCGGTACTCGTGAAATAGCTTAACCATGGCTGTTCTTTTCCATTGCTATGATGGTTTCTTGTCTCACCACACCTCTGCTTGAAAACATTCTTGATTCCTGCCCAGCTAACAACTTTGACAACCGTCCTTTCAATCAATCATCTGTTTTGACTGAAATGAGTTTGCAAGTTCTCAGACAAGCAGTTTTACAGAGAGAACTAGGGGAGCACTAACACAAGCAGCTACCAGTGGGTGAGTAGGTATAACTATCTTCTGCTGGCACAAATGCCTGCAAAGAGCATATCTGTCTGTATTTTTTTATCCAGCTACATTTTTGATAGACTTATAACTACAGAGTAAAGGAAATTAATTTCTGATGCAGTTAGGCTTTCTCATTTTCAACTATGGAGAAACATTGTATGTAAATTTAAATAAAACAAATGCATTGGTTTACCTGTAACAATAAGATACTCAACACACTGCCTATATGCAGAGTTATAAAATAGCAACAACACTTACCAATCTAGAACCATTAATGGACACAATAAAATCAAAGAATGGCTCCAATCCAGCTCTATGCCCCGGTGAGTTTTCCTGTACCTGGCAAAGTTAAATAAGAATTTAGCAAAAGTGTACCAATGCTCACTCACAGATCATAATTATATTTCTATTCATGCAAAGTGTAGTTCTAGAAGCTAATGATGTTTGTATGTATTATTTTTAAGTGTTCAAATCTAGTCTTTTGGACCAAAAAAAAATCTCTCCCTTCAAAAAGAGCAAACTAAACAAAACAGAGGAATATTTAAAAAGAATCAGAACTTTATAAATTATCAAACAATGACACAACAGCAGACACTCTCTGGGACAAGCACTGTTTAACAGCTGCAGTAGATAAACTGTGGATATTTATTTCAGTAAAGGTGTTACTACCAAAGGACAAGCTTAATGAATCCTGGAAAAGTTGGTTAAAAAGCAATATTTTTCCACAGAAGTACCAACATTGGGCCTTGCTTTTTATCTTACACTTACTAGGGGAAAAGGGGTCACATCTGCATAAGCTCAGGTTGTTATATCATGACTAACCACCACCTGTTGACATTCTTGAGACAGAGGACATCTGTAAAACCCATGATTCATTACCACATTAACAGGCTGCAAGACAAAGGACACGTGCACTTTGGGAGCCATGGCAGCTCAAATAATTCAACTACTCCACCAGGACAAGGCCTAAGTATTGGATACATATAGCTCCCAGAAGCTTAAAGTATGCTTTTAAACTTCAAACTGAGAAATGTTTTGCTGGTGTTTGTATTTTCAGCATTACGTGCATCGCTGACAGAAAAAAACAGCTCCAATATGGCTATTTTTTTTACAGGGATTTTTCCTACAGTATTTGTAGTAAAGACTATCTATTTGTAAGCTGATTCATTTTACGAGTTGGCTTTTCCTTTTGTGCTACATTCATCTTCCATAAAGATGTAAAAAGCATTACCTGTGGTTTCCTGCATGACATGTTATTCCATCTGACAGAACTGATACAAATTTGCTAGTTTGCTGAATAGAAGTCTGATTCTTCAGGAATTGAGTTCCTCTAACACGACTCACTCAGAACAAAATATACGGGAAAAAAAAAGCTTGACTAACACTAGAACTGTCCTCTTTGAGTCTATTTCTGCCACGCTCATTCACAAAATCAGAGCTTGGAAAAAACTCAGACTACTTGAGGGTAGCTTTCTGTAACAACTGCTAGAAACTTAGAACATTAGTGTCACAACCTAAACATTCATTAAAGAAAAAAATAACCCAGAATCATTAGTTCCAGAATCACATCACACACCAATTGACATCTAAGATTTGTAAAGCAGCAAAATAGAATTAAACCAATGTTATCCTAAAGTAATAAAAATCACTGAGGCAGCAATAACATCCTCAAACCCCATATTTGTAGTTTCTAACTAGAATTTGAAGGGTGTCTGCAGAAGCGTCTCTTCAAGATGCCTGTATGTTCCTCGGAAATTTCCTACAACTCGGGGTACAGATATTCTCCTCCTCTGCCAAGTGTTAACTGCATGGAACCACAGCTCTTAAACCCCAAAGCAAACTGCAGTCCCACTAGCTAGATCCAAACTAGTACCTGCATGTTACCCAGTCTCTCACTTCAAGATGCCTCCTGCCCAGAATAACTGGAGATGAGATAGCAAGCTGGGTAACAGGGTAAAAGTACAAGCTATAAGCTCCATGTAGCAGACCTGCTGACACTAGCTGCACAGAAGCTCCTGGGCACAATGTGGATGTTGCTTTTACATTAGTGGACTGTTCCCAGAGCTCACTTTCAACTTTAGATATTAGAACTTTCAGTAATGCAGAGCTGCCTCAGAACAACCTCCACAAAAAGAAATTTTAGCCTCTGTGGCTTTTCTCATAAGCTAAAATGCACTAAACAAATTACTCTTCTTAAACGCAGAAAGCATTTACTTACTAAGTGGAGTACTTGAGATCTTCCTGACAAAGAAAGGTTAAAAAAAAGTTCCATGAATTAGAGAACTCAGATTTCCTATGGACAGGATCCATAACTGCTTTGTCAGGCTTGATGTTTCTCTTGTAATTAGAGTAATTCAAAACACCCTCTCCTCTGATGTGGTTTTCCTAGTAGTGAATAAGCTTGTGCTGTTTGTTGCTCTCCCCTCAGTTTAGGGAGGTGACATGAAAATACTTTAATAGCCTCTCTCATTCCACCACCCACTGCATGTGACATATAGGAACTTCATTTTGTATTTTTAATAAGCCTGGCATAAAAGCTTTATACCAAAATTCACTCAGCAAATGGTTTCAGAATTTATTGGGAAAATAAGAATTTTAAAGACAGAACATGGCTTTCTAAACCTTGTCATCAAAGATCAGCAAATCCAGCCAACTGATAGATTTATGCAGACAACACATCAGGTTGTTAGGACTGGATGTGTGTCACGGCTTTGAAATGACAAAAAGCCAGACTTCATTCAGACAGCAGGACAGCTGCAAAAGCAGTCCTGATATGGTTTGCTCTTTATTCAGAGATTTTGCTCCGTTTCCAAACGAACTTCTTAAAATCAAACAACAAAACTTCTACACCCTGCCACAACATCCCTCCCCATGACCTCTCATAGATTATATCCTGAACACTGTGAACCAACAGTGACCAATGTTCAATAAGGTAATCTTTTAAAATTAGAAGGATGTAAGTTCAGCATCCATCAATGTCAAGCTTGTTGACACCTGAGATGTACAGATTTGGTATTCTATGTAAATTATTTATAGTCTGCCCCAAACTGGTGAAGGGACTGCAATAGTTTCCAAGTTCTGAATGATCAGAACACAGAAAGTATCTTCTTGAACACCTTCCCCCATATCCATCACAATCCTGAATAACTCTGCATAGTTTGTTTCTAGGTGGGTGTGTAAAAACTATGAGGGAGCTGTATCTAAAAGAAATCAAGCTCTTACAGTTGCATCGATCATACACATACCTCAAACACGTAGCTCCATCCCTTCTGTCACCACATCTCCTCATGCTGCCACACAAAGATACAGACACAAAAACTTCCCTATTTCCCTAGCTTGTTTGGGGCCAGCATCACAGATGGAAATGCATTTTTATGCCTTGCAGTCCCAGAAATGCAAAAGAGAAGTTCCAAGCTCATTTCACATGTAAAGTCTCCTCCTTAAAGAAGCGATATACTCAGTCCTGCAAAACAATCACACCAACCTGACAGTTTTTATGCTACACCCACTTATTTGTAATCAGCTGCCTGCACAATTCATCACCATCACACAGTGCCCAACACACAACAGTGCTCTTTGCTCAAAGCTCTGTGGCCATGGTTCTCCTCCAGGAACAACAGCAACAAAAAATAACCAGGGACCTTAAGAAATACAAGGGCACAAAAGCCTTCTTATTGATGTTTTTTAAAGATTCCACGTGTACATAAACTCTCGGCCTCCTGAGCAACCTGGCTTTGTGCAGCTTTGCTGTATGCCCCAAGCAGATATTCAGCCTTTGTAATTGAATAAGGATGAGAAATAAAGTAATAGCATTTACAACAGGTGCTACTGCAGGCAAGATACCATACACAACAGCTTGGGAAGCCTAATTCTCTCAAAGCCAGCTGTTACTTCAGACATGCAAGTTACAGGCACCTGTGAGTAAATGCCATGTCTTTCTAACAGTAGAGGAAAACAGTGGAGCAGACTACATGGAGAAGCTGTGGGACTGCCACCACCAGAGCTTTTTAAGAGCAAGTGAAGAAAACCTCCATCAAGACTGCTGAAATCAGAAGAGGGCAGTTCTGCTCTTTCAGCCTCGTACAAATGCTGCAGGACTTCAGTTTCTCACCGAGGTGACAGCAGGGCTCCTGAGCACAGAGATAACACACATTACTTCACTTTTACTACACTGTCAAGAACTAAACAGGGAAAAGGTTTCAAAGTCAAGACACTAGTTTTAATCTGCATTACTAAGGAGACTCATTTTTTTGTAAACAAAGTTCCTCTTTGATGAACTCCTTCCCCAACACTATCACTCTATGCCTACACAGCATATATTGTACATTCCACATTATAATAAGGCTATTCAACAACAGCCACAAATTTAAGCCTCCAGCAAGCAGTGCTACTGTAGGAATTAGACATGGAAATCCTAGTTTTCAGAGACAGATGAAGGCTCTCACCACTCTTGAAAGTCCGATAACTTATAATAGTGTTCACTTAAAGCTTACCTTCAAGTGCTAATGACGCAACTTTCCAAGAGCAGAAGCTCTGAAGCCTTCCCACACCCCCTAAAATGCTTCCTTATATTTGTTTTATCAACAAAATGCTCAAAGCAGGAGTTTTGTAGTTCTTCCACTCTAACTGTTAATAAAATTTCATTATGTATCATATACAAGGAATTCCTGTTAGGTCTAACAGAATCCATTTTGTATCAGCCACCTTAACATATTAGACAGTATAACTGTATTGAATTTCCTTATGAAATGCCCATTTTTCAAGAGAAAAACCTTTGTAAGTTTTTTTGTAAGAAAATAGATTCCTTATACATGGTATCAAAATTTTCAATTGATAATTAACCGTAAAAATACTGAGAACTTAACTCGAAGTTTTAAAGTGTGACTCTCTTTCAAAAAATAAGTCAGCTCATTATGGCAACACATTTGTTTCTCTACTACAACCACAACACAAGTAAAAGTTTGAAATCCCAACTTTGGGCAGCACCATGCAGTGACTTTTAGGGAGAACAGCACATAACAGCACCATACAAATCTCTTGCAGATATTCTTAGTTAGAATCATTTAGGCTGGAAAAGACCAACTGAGCCCAACCATTAACCCAGCACTGCCAAACCCACCACTAAACCATATCCCTCAGCACCACAGCTACACATCTTTTAAAAACCTCCAGGGAAGGTGACACATCCACTTCCCTGGGCAACCTGTTCCAGTGCTTAATAACCCTTCTGGTGAGGAAATTTTTCCTAATATCCAACCTAAACCTCCCCTGGCACAACTTGAAGCCATTTTCTTGTCTTATCACTTGTTACCTAGGAGAAAAGTCCAATTCCCAGC